ACTCAATTTAGTCAACTTTGCACTCAAGTTTAGCATTGTAGTTACAGTAAATTCGTCGATTTTAATCCCATCATCACGGGCCGCTTGCATGTCGTAAAATAATTTGATCGCGTGAGTTTCAGACCCATCGGCCCTTACAAAAACCGGACAACATAGATATAAGTGACCAAGTCTTTGTGTGGGCGTCGAATAAACACGGGCTTGAGTTAAGTTTGGATTTTATATAGGCGAGATGATGTGTTCCAAGAGAAAACGTTTCGTTCCGGCATTTCATCGAACAATTTTCAGCTTCACGGACAGCCGTGTTTGGAGTAGAGATGAATGAGTTGGTTGGAAGTGAGAGTTGATGGCGTAAAGCCAGCTTTTATGGCTTGGACGTGCAATATTAAGCCATCTTTCAAGGACCTCATTTATGCAAACACAGAAAGGAATGGCCTTTTTCGAGCAGCGGGGAAATGCAAAGAAAGCCGAAAGGAGCAATATTTAGGCTCAAAGGCATAACATGTGGCCCTTGTCTTAAACCCCAAGAGCCAAGACAAGAGGGTTCTTAACCTTTTTATTCTCCTGATGGGCACAATGGATTCAAAGAACTCGTCATCAGCCCATTACCCATAGTATATTTTTTTCTTTTTTTTCAATTAAAAAAAATGAAAATTCGAACTCAATCTTTTGAGAAGATAAATCATAAATATTAGTGCGAAAACCTAGTGCAATTATTCCAAATAATGAGTTTCAACTTTTAATCTGCCAAGATGGTGTACAAGATCAACTTGCCATTCTTTAATTTTTCCTTTGTGGTGCACAACAGCACATGAGCCAGCTATACACCCAAATTGGGGTGTCTACCCAAACTCCCCTTCCCCTCCTTATACATTACAGCTTAGATTGATGGGGCAAACTTTGGCAGCTGAATATACCATCCTTGCATCACCTGCATAATGATATTGCCATTCATCACTACTTCCACATTATTCATATATTATCAAAGTTGCAAACTAATGCTTAAACAATACATAAAGCAGCAATGATATAAAATCAAAGATATACCAGCAATTGTTGCCAAACTAAATTGAGAAGGTACATTGCTGTCCACCTCAACAGAGGCTTTGGCTGCAGCAATACCAATTGCTACACTCTGCATCACATTTAAACCTGCACAAAGAGAAGCAAGCATCCCGCCAACCAGGCAATCACCAGCTCCTGTAAGCCTTATTACTGAGGCAGGGAGTGCAGGTAAATGCACAGCCAAAAAATATGGACTTCTCTCAAGAAACTTAGAATCAGAGTACCAACTTGAAGGACAACTTAAAGTCACAGTTTCGAATAACTGTCCACTGAATCCATGATTCTTTGTCTTTTCTGGACTAATTCTCCAGGAGCTTGGCTCCCCTTTAGAGCATAAAATTACCCCATCTGAACCAATAGTAACAACAAGAATTTTGACACCCTTCTCAAGCAAAAGCCAGATCGCTGGTTTTAGCATCTGGAACAAAGTATCTGTAGAACATTTTTTCCTTTCAATTGGATGAAACATATTGTCAGAAGACAAAGCATTTGCCATGGCGATTAGTTCATCTTCATAGGTGAAGCAAAAGTATCGTCAGAATACCTCCGAATTAGTAACTGAAAGATGAAGAGGGAGAATTACAAGGAAGTGCTTAAGATAACACAATGTAGCTTACACAAGAATCATTGACATAAAAGTGCAGAAAATAGAGCACTCACATACTTGACAACTGAAGCAATCTTTTGGATTTTGCAATTGATACAGTCAAACCACACTGGGACATTTGACTCTGCTGCTACGCAGAGAACACCACCCATAAGATATTTGAGGAAAAACCAAGTAAAAGTGAGATAAGGGAAGCCATTAATGTTAGCAGCAAGCAGAAGACCACCAAAGAGTGAGAGACAGACAGACAGACAGACAGACAGACAGAAGTCTAAAGTAATGTTTACTTCTGCAAGAAGCTTCTATGGCAGGAGAACTCAAATTTGCATCGACCATCAATATAGGAGCAGAATGTATCTTTTGCTTGAATTGTTGAATCCACTCCGGAGAAACATTTCCTGCGGCAATCATAATAACACCACCAACACCTTTTAAATTTCGGTGTAGTACTTCTCTAAACTATACAAGTTACTACTTATAACACATAAGACAAATAAATTCCCGAACACTACTTACAACCTGCTTCCACACTTGCAACACCAGCTGCTACCTCTCCAGTAACATCAAGTATATGACAGACAGTAGGAGTCTTAATATCCTGGTGCGTCCTAATGCCTGCTTGCAACAAAACCATGTAAGAGTGGAGTAGCATACTTTCTGACACGTCTTCAACCAGAAAAGTATTAGACATTTTATAAATGTTTCTGTCTGATTTCCCAGAAGAAACCAAAAAACAAAAAACTGTAAGATGTCATAAGAAGCCCAACAAAAGTAGCTTATCAATCAGCACTGTTTATTTACAAATACAACAAGTTTCATCAAACAGAATGCGAGTATTCATTACTATAGCAGGATTAATGATTATGTAATTGCAGCAGTATGACACCAACAATAGCCATCATTAATCAAGAACTGAAAATTCAAGGGAAAGAGCTGACCTCTGTAGGTAACTTTGAAGATTTCCAATGCCCAACAACAAATTTCCTAATAAAAAGAAGAAAAAAGGGTAATCGGGATATTGGCCACAGATGATGGTCATTAAAACACCTATTTTGATGTGAAATAAGATTGGACATAGCCAGGTGTACATGTGTCTCAGTGATCAAGACTAGATGTTTCAGAATTTCCTGCACCAAGATCGAATGGAATTCAGATAATTAACCACATATTCACATTAGAAATGTCACATATTTGGGATCATGATATTGGATTATCAAACTTATTCCTAATAAAGCAATATAAGCATGCCTTATGAAAAAGTTATAGGTTGTCACGATGCTGCATTAGAGAAAGGTTACAGCAAATAACCTGCCATGTCAATTCCCAAAGCACTAATCATAAACGGCTCAGTTCCAAGCTTCCACATACACTCGGCTATGTTCCTTGCCACGCCTCCTAGTACATAATGTACCTGAACAAATATTTCCCTACTTTAAAGACCCAAAAGCAAAGAGAAAAAAGAAAAGAAAAGAAAAAAAAAGAAAGGTGAGATGATAAAAGAGACCTTCCCAGGACAAGTGGTTCTTGGATGTGGAGGAATTGAAGAAGTGGCTTAAATGTCCAAAACCATGCCCCTATGATCACTGCTCAGCCTCTCCATCTTCCTGCATCTCCATTTTTCACCCTTCTTTCCAGTCTCTCACAGTCTGCAGAATCCATTTGACCCCTGGGAGTGAAATGTTCGTTGTGTTGGTGGGCACCCCAGGTAGTGTCCAGGTAAAAAGATTCAAGACCCGAGATTGCTAACAAATTGGCCAACTATTTAGTTACTCCCCCTTGTTCAAGGCCTAGTAAATATTGGCCTATCGAATCCAATAAGGAATGGAGTTCTCCAGGCAATGCAGATTTTTTGCTCATGGGCCTTAAATATTCAAATATAATAAAACTAGTAGGGTGTTGGTGTAGCATCTCAATCTTTGACTTGTGAAGGAATGAAATTCAAACCCTTATCTCTTCATCCAAGACAATATGGTCTTAAACGATCTAGATGTCCCTTTTCCAACTATTATTCCAAATTTTAAATAGTATATACTTTGGAAGCAAATTAATAGTAAGAAAGAAATAGCATGACCACTCAACCCAGTATGAAGGTGACAAGGAAAGTCCATGGCACCTGATATCACGAAAGATATTTTGACTTGTTGCCAATGTATGAAACAATTGCTCATCATTATCGCACTAATTAAGTCTCAAAGTGCAGCTGAAACACATCAACCTTATTCTCTCACTAAATGTGAGGACCAAATCAAAAGACAATTACTCTACTGCATTCTAAAGGACCTGATAGTGGGAAAATTGACGGAAAGATACACTATTACTTTAATCGCAGGAAATCAAGCCTTTCGATACCATGGATTGGTATATTTAATCTATATCTCAAATATGGTATCGCAGCCTTTACTTTCCTCGGAAGGTCGCCTTTGAATGCTGAGCAGATAAAGATGAACACATTTCGATAGCAGAAATCCTGAACCCTCCATGCATCAACTAGAACATAAACAATGATAATATTTACTATTGTTAACAAGTAATCCAATTAAAGCACTATCTTGGATTCAGGCACATGGATTCGCTGCCTAAATTGTGTTATATATATATATATATATATATATATTAAGTTTTAGGTCGATGGTAGCGAAAAGAAAAATCTACAATACTTATCCAGTCGCCCACTCGCCTTATAAAGCGAAAAGCTGGCAACCCCTTAACCTTTTGATGATCCATTGGAAGAAAAATTTTTGAAATAATTGATCAGGAAAAAGTCTTTGGTCTCTCAAAAAAGGTCAGAACAGGATCCCCATTTTCTCACTAAATGATGGGATGTTACAAGATGATATAACTTTGAAAATTGATCCTACATTAAAGCTATCAAAATTTTCTTCCGGGAAAAAGAACATGCAAACAGTATTTTCCATGACTATCGTGTGATGGAAGTTGTCTGGTTTTTGTGGTCTGTCATCGTAATTATTTTGATCGGTTTTGACAATGACAAGCAGTGCAAGGAAGGAAGGAAAAGATGAAGAAACGTAGGCATCCAGAAACTGGAGCAAATGGGTACTGATGTATATGGTGATATATACCGCTCTCTGGTACAATTTTGACACGGAGTTATTTGTCTCTGTTATTTTCTAATTGATGAACCACATATTTTGTTGATGCAAACTGAATGCAATTGACATAAATGAATTGACAATACTTTTTTGATGGACCAACAGGAAGAAATGGAGCAAAACATGTTGTCTAAACTTGTCCAATTGATAAATTGCCATGATTTCTCTGTTGTGGAGTAGAGCAGGACATCTGTGCTTTCAATCTTGGTGAGCCAAACTATACTTTTTCTTTTCTTTTCTTTTTACCTATAATTAATTAGTATATTAAAGACGGCCAAAAAGTTGGAGATCAGTGGAGAAAATCATAGCCATCTAACTTATCTAATCGAAATCTTGTTAAAAGCACTCGTGAGCCTATTTTCAATGATTCGATATCAATGTTTGGTTCATTGTATGTTGACTTGACAGACATATATTCATCTTTCCTAGCTAATTCGTTGTTAAAACTAGAGAGCTTGAAGGTTTGTCTAACACTGAACTTTTATTAATATTGGATTGCCAAATTAATTCATATTAATTAAATTGAAATGGGAATATTCAATGGAGAGAGAGAGAGAGAGAGAAATAAGATCAATTGAAAAATCTCCACCCTTTGCTCAGGCAAATCATGGCCAGCCAGCCCATTTCATCCACATTTGCAAGCCAAGCGAGCCACGCATGGGAAGACTTATTCACTAAACGCTTTTGCTTTTGGAGATTCTGACACTTTGTTGTGCTGCAAAAAGCCAAGAAAGTCATTATAAAACTTGAGAGGAGTTGGGACTTGGGATGTCAAATTCTAAATCACATGTACCTTGGAGAGCAGAGGCTCTGGCTGGTCCCCCTCAGAGCTGGAGAGTCCGGATTCCATTGCTAACTGCAAAGAAGCAAAATTAAAATTAAAGAATGGCCAGGACTGCTGCAGTGTCCATTGCTATTTTGGAACCTAGTTGGGTAGGAAATATATGTTGAAGAAGAAAGAAAAAATAATCGAGTACCATCATGAGGTTAGAAGATTACCTGCCATCAATTTCCTTGTGATGTCCTTATTACATTTTGAGTGTTTTTTTGCAGGAAAATGACTTCCCATGCACTTGGTTTTTGTAGGGGAAAGCAACTATGTATGATAACTAGATGAACCATGTGGATATATAGCAATTAATAAACTTCCCAGATGCAAGTTCTTCTGTGTTCTGTACTATGCAGAGGGAATATGTTTAAGACATAAGGTGTTGAACTTTTGAAACATGAAAAAAAAAAAAAATACTTCCAATATTGTAAATAATTGAGCAAAAATCATGCATCTGAAATGAATGATGAATGGTGAAGCATGGTTTTTGCAAACTAGTAAGTATAAAATAAACATGGGATAATAAGGGGTTTAGAGATTGAGTTTAATTAGCAGTTTTTCTTGACTAGAAGCTATGCTTTACCAATCAATGGGCCTACATGTCTAATGCAATGCTTTGGTCACAGCTGGACTGGTATGGAAATTTTTTTTAGTCACAGACCCTGACCGGCTAGCTGATTTGAGACACGTTAATTTTGTCTTGTTTGATGAAGGACAAGGTTTGAGCCTTGGAGTGACCTTGGCAGAATTCTCTGGCAAACTTTAAGCAAACTTTTGAATTGAAAATTGCGATCATTTCAAATTTCAAAGTGTTTAAATGTTTTTATTTGGTCGGTTGACTGCACACTTGAAACAAAGAATAAGAAAACACACTGTGCATTAAAGAACTACACCTCTAATGAAAAATGTGTGATCTCTTTAAGTAGTAAGCAAACATCAAGGCTATCCTTATACCAAAGAAATTATAACAAGCATAAATAAATAGATATAGGCTTGGCTAAGAAAAGTAAATTCCCAATTTACCATTAACTAATTGAGGTTCCACTTGGCTATGGAAATCCGGGATCTTACCAAAAAAACGAGAATGGCAAGCTCAGGCATATGTCATAACATGTTAGTGTTCTAACATGACATGAGAAGCTAAAATGTCCACACAATTCAAGTGGCTAAGGTGTGCCTAACTAGCAATCAAGATATCATCTTTTAAAGAAATTTCAAAAGCGAGAGACTGAAGGCCCAAAGAAATGGGTTAAGGGGCAAAGTCGTCAAGAGAATGTCCATTATTGATTTCAAGTCTGCATTTATGGAACAGACTTTGCAAAGAGATTTTGCAGAGATATTATTGGCAGTGAAGCCAAATTCAAAGGCACATGCGGTGGACTAAGGAGGAGGCAAATTTCACTACTCCAAAACGTGTACACCCCCAACGCGACCCCTCGCTTCGAGACCCCAGTCGGTCACTTTCATAAAACCCTTTCTGAGTAAGGCAAAAGTATTTCAGTTTCGGGACTTTATTGCCCCTCGTGATTTCGAAAGATAACTTACTTTGATAGAGATGACTAACCGCAATGTCGAGCCTATTTTGGACAAACATAAAAGTAACATTTAATATATGAAAAAAATATAAATAGATTTTTTGTAATATATCCAGTTAAATTACATTATAATATTTATTTTGTAATAAATTATTACGATTGTAATGTAATCATGTTACAATTAAAAATATAATGTGATTACAGTTCAATAATCAATACAATCACAGCACATTGCATCTCTGTAATGTTTTTAAAGAATTTTTACTCTTCAATTTATTATCTTATAAAAATATTTATAATATTATTATAAATATATATATATAATATAAAAATATAATAATAAATATATAATAATATAGAATCAAAAATTAAAATAAAATAAAATAAAAAATTAAAATTTATATAATATAAAAAAATAAATTAAAATAAAATATTATAAATATAAAAATTATATTAAAAGAAATAAAATAAAATATATAAGATTATATAATAAATAAAAATAAAATATATGATATTAAAATATATTTAAGAGATGATATTATATAAAAATTAATAATAAAAAATATAAATATATTAAACTTATATTTTAATAACTAGATGTAATTTTGAAAATTAACATTACATTCTCAGTAAAATACTTATAAACTAAACACTGTAATGTTATCTTTTTTACATTTTAATCATTATTTTGCTTGTATACCAAATACTGTTATTTTTTCTGTAATGACATTATTTACAATTACATTACCTGCAATCACGTTACTTGTAATCACATTACATTGTAAAATATCAAACGTCACCAAAAAGTAAATAAAAGATGTCGCTTTATCAGTTTCCCAATAGTTTTGTACAGAATGTGACATGGGTCGTAATTTTGGAGAAATTGAATTACTATATATATCATGCAAAATCCATTTTCAATTTAGTTAATTTAATTTGTGAATAGCAATTTTTGAATCATTAAAATGTTTGAAATTAACATTTTCTTAAAGCAAAGTCAACATAATAGTAATTAATTAATAACCAGGTTACCAATCAAGTATAAGAACAACTTATATTAAGCATCTAATATATATATCACATGCCTTTTCATAATTTTAATCAAAGAAGTGTTTGACACTTCACTTTACCCAAGAGTCATTACTTAGAAAAATGTTAACTGAAAAGACAAAAGTGGCTTTCAATTATCCCGGACTCCAAGTCGGTTACCTTTTTGCTTCCTCCAATCATTATGCTAAAATAGGAACAAATATTTGTCTTCTCAATTTGAAGAATTGAACAATCATATATTTTCCTTTTACTTATTTTTCTTTTACGTGTTCACTTTTCAATCTTCTCAGCTATCTAGTCAAAACCATGCGAAGAACAAACGGAGTAAAATTATCTTTCCAAAAAAGAAAAAAAATGCTTATTTGTCATTCAAGCAGTGAGAAATTAACAAATTATATTATCAAGGTTTATTTTTTATTAAAATAATTATATATGTACATATAATTACACGCATGCATATAATACTAATATGTATGGAAAACATGCATGAACTTATAAGACAATTACATTCTCTTCTTGAAGGCAGATTTAGCGAGGGTTAATAACTAAAGGTATAATATTTGTAAAAGTTCTTAAAATATTTTTAAAAAATTAAATAAGTTATTATTTTTGCATTGCATTCAATCAAATATTTTTATTTTTATTTTAAGTTAAGATATATTTTAATTAATTATCGTTTTATATTCACATGACATTCACGTAAAATATGAAAAATGTCATATGATTATATCATCGTATCATATTAGTATGTCACGTTAGCGTCACATAATATAAAATGACAGATGATATTTTAATTAATGATAATTAATTAATCATTAGTTGTAATAGCTTATTTTGTTAAAAAAATATAAAAAAATTAATTTAACGTAATTAAAGAATAAAAGTTTATTTGAATTTTTTTAAACAGTTCAGAAATTTTTTAATTATTACACCATTGAATCATTTTGCATATATTTAATTTACAAATATAAAGAAATAGATGCCTATCATGATACTGCAATAATGAATTAATTTAAAGTACAATAGGTTAATTAACTCTACAAAAACTTAATTATTGGTACCCAATATTAAAATAAAATCTCTTCAAAAACGGGTCTAGGGTAGCCAAAACTAATTAATCCCTGATTGATGCATGATTGATCTCCCAGCCAAATCATTCGTAAATTAGTAAACTTATTCTGAGAGGAAGGATGTGATAATATAGTATATGCAAATTATGAAGTTTATGTGATATGTAAGCTTGAAAAGGACTTGCACATGCACTTTTAATTTGCTTTCTTTGAATGATGATTAGTGTAACATGAACACATAAAATACAAGGTGGTACCCAGGATTTTGACATGCTTCTTGTTGCAATTCGTTCTAAATTTCATAGTTTAAAAATGTCATTACGTTAATTATAGATCGTCCCATCCATTAAACTATCATTACATAAGACAGATGCCTCTTAATCCTTGATTAGCTCCAACTCCTTTGAAACTGGGATGTGGATGCAGTTTTATTAATAAGGTATCACCACCCTTTTATCTCTTTATTTTTTATTTTTTCTGTTCCAACTTTTAACATCAATTGGAGTTAAGGAATCAAAAGGCTTAAAACCAAAATCATACCATCTTGTTTGATCTGTTATTAATCAATGGGGTCCCATTATCAAAGGTGTTCATAGGCATTGTTTAGAACCAGTTAAAATATGAATATTATTTTAATTAAATTAGAATTCTCATTAAATTTAAGAATAAATAATAAATTAATTATCTTTTTTTTAATAAATATCATCTTATTTAACATATTTTCTTTAATTAATGCGACGGATAATGATATATATTATATAATTGCTTTAGTAATTTATCCGAAATAGAAACATTTTTTATGGGTTGGTTGAAACAACTTGCCTACCGACCTGGAAGCATGGAGGGCTGCAAGTTGAGAGCCAGACAAAATTATGAGGTACAGCTCAACTGAGTTCATTACGTTGTTTATTTCTCTTACTTACTTCTTAGATTATTAAGACATTTGTGTAACTGTTTGTTTTAGTTTTTGTAGATTCATTGGCTTATTAAATAAGATTGGGTTCTCCTTGCCCAATCTTTCGGGTCAATGTCTCGATGATCGGGTGCATCATTTGAGGTGCCAAATGGATTGATCATGCTAATTAAAGTGACACTAAGAATCTTGCTATTAACAAATTAGTTTCTGTTAGGATTTTTTATTATAAATTACGTTGAAAGGATATATAATTAAGCAAATGAAGTGATATTTTTGGAGCATATCAATTAGCAGCCACCCAACGAATAAAAAAGGAAGTTGTTTGCCTCAATCTGTTCTTCTATTAGGCTTTCAAAATCATTTAGGCATTAGCCAGCATCTTCAATAATCAATAATTCTAAAGTACCCCAAAGAAATACCCAATAATACTCATTATTTAATCCATAAATTAACAACCTTTTTGAATAAAAAAAATAAAAGAAAAGACATATAAGGTTGATAAAGAAAAAATGGCTTATACACTTTGAAAATGTGAATCCCAAACGTGAATCTAAGTTCAAAATCCAATGAATATGAATTAAAACAGCAGCAGAATCTCTAAAGATAGTTTTCAAACTCTAACAAAATTAATTAAATACCACTTTTATTTAAAAGTGGTTTCTTTTTTTTAATCCATTTGTCCTTATCATGAAGCTTGGGTTAACGTTTTCATGGGGCGTACAATATAAAATAGAAATGATGCAAATCATAACAATTTTAAACTAAATTATTCCAATTATTCAACTTGCTTGCCAATCTGTCAATTAGCGACTTCCCACCTCTCTCTCTCTCTCTCATCAAATCATGCTCTCAGGTAAGTCAAAGATATCAATTAAAAATCAATGATCAACGTTCAAGTTCTACATGGATGACTGTAATGCTTTGGTACTTTGAAAGGTTACGTTCCCCGGTCAAATCGTGCACTCCAAATAGTCAAATTATTCTGTCATTTCGTGTAACTTTAACCGAATAAATTAATAATTATTATTATTTTATTTATATTAAAATAAACATGTCACGGAATAGATAATAAAGATTATTAAATTTGAGGTGATGTACGACGATATAAGAAATTAAGTAAATTAGATTTTTCGTAATTGTGGTATCAATTTTCAACTTGTTCACACAGGATATATTTGCTAATAAGAGTCTGAAGTTCATAGGAGATGTCTGTTGAAGTTTACACTCAATCTAGTCCATTTTTATGACTTAGACTAGTCCAAAAATTAATACAAATCTTTTTACCACATAATATTTTATCTTATTTTTTTGAAAGATAAGGTTCGTTGATAAAGAAATATACAAACGAAACCAGTAATCAGGTTAAACTAAAAATTGAAACAAGCTGAAAGCATTATCATTTTAACATGTGGCTATAACCATTTTTTTTTAAAAAAGAAGAAGTATGAATTGATTGATTGATCAAAAGTGAATACATAAATATTAATTTCAATCTAGATAATTCAATTGCAAACTTGGTCTGACATACACAATTACATTTCATCATGGACTAAATACACTAGAGCCTCCAACATCACCTACATCGAGTAACCTTTTTGCAACTTACATTGGGTATAGATTTTTCTCTTTTCTTCTTCTTCTTCCCTTTTTTTTTTCCTTTAAATTCCTTCGATTTGACAACAAATTAATTAATATCTTACTCAAATTATGTCAAAAATGCATACTATTCTTGAAGTTCAAGTATATTTCATTTGGTTTTATTTTTTTTAATTACACTTTGAAATTTCTTTAGAATTAAGCAAGCAGTAACTTTTCTGTGTATATATATGGATCATAAGTGATTGAGCACCAAATTTGCTTCTTGTGACCAATATTCCTTCACGTTGAAGAAACAAGAAAGCTTTACGTGCAAACTTGTGAATGTTAGCTGCGCAATGTTTCTACTCTTGATTTTGTTTTGGATTTTTTTTTTAGATAGAGAAAAAAATAGTAGAGAATTATTGAAGGCCAAGGAGTGCAATTTGCTACAAAGGTCTCGCTCACAATCAATATGAAAAGCGAGGTGGGCTCTTCCCATATTTGATAGATTAGCCTGTCTTTGTTGACTCCAAAAGTTAGGAATTTTTTGGGGTCCCAAATTGGACAAATAAGTGGAAACCATTCACATGAGCTGCCATTTCCTTCCATATCTCTTCCTCGTTGACTTGCTTGACTTCAAAAAATAATAATAAAAAAGCTTCACATTTCATAGATATTGTTCAGAATCTACCAATGGATTGGACAAGTTCATTTAATTTGCGATATTTGCTTTCCTAGCTTTCCTTTGGTTTCTAGAAAAGTGAAAACAGAGATACACAAAGCATATTCCCCTCAATGCAAGAGAATTTTGCTTTTTCCACATCTGGGTTAGGTCTTCTTGCCTAGAAACATATATATATCTTGATACTAATATGGTAAAATTAATCTTTCTTAATTAATTTAGTGACGTGCAATTATCCTATCTATCTTGGATTGAACAAACTGTGGAAATTAACATTAACCAATCAGAATGCAACAAGTTTCATCACGAGATGAGACTAATGATTTTATTTACAAAGGTAATCTTTTCCTTAATGAACAGGTCGTCCGGTAATCAATATTGTTTATTATGCTAGTAAACAACTTCTTCTTTGGTGACCAATGTATAAGACGAATACGTCCCATTGTATGCATGAAAGTAACTTACGAATTTGTTTCAATGCATTAAACGTATACAAATGTTTTTTACAGAACAAATGAATAAAGATATGTTACTTATAATCACGTCTTTGTGCATTAAAGTAATCTTATTACATTAACAGTGGGTCAATCCTATTAGGATTGACTATTATTAATTTGGAGCCACTGCTTACACGAAAGCATTATTAACTATAAATAATTATCTTTCTAGTAAAATCAAAATTAACCAGTCAATTCCTAATGTCCTCATTACTCATATAGTTCTTGTTCTTTGTTGTACCTAATACACGATTGATTACACTTTGAAAATTCTTGCCCGAGAAGACAGCAAAGACTTTGAAATTTTTTATGAGAAGGAGTACTAGCATTTGAAGACGGTAAAATCTGAGTTTCCTTGCGTAGCTAAACGTGAAATTCCTACCGTCCATGGCAGCTAAACGTGACCAAATAATAGGGTATACACAAAAACCCAAAAACGTTTCTGTACACAGAAAATAATAAATTAAATAAATAAAAAGGAGACAGAAATAAAACTAAAGCAGTGGTCTTTGTCTTTTGGCAGCTGGTGGCTCCCAATTGATCTGAGAAAGGAATTTAATTATTTTGTCCAACTCGATCTTCACAAACTAATGAGAAAAATTGCTCAAAATCAAGACAAAGCCTGCGATATAAAAAGATTTTACTCAAATTTTGTACAGGATTATAATCTTTTGGGAGGGCAAATCTATAGTCTTGGTCGACAGTTATTTTGGGAAGGAAAAACAGCTGTGATACAGCGCATCCAACAGACCAAAATAATAATACAGCTTGCACATGATTTTACAACCATATTGTGTGTGGATGTTAAAAGTATGAAAGTAAAATGGGTAGAGTGTAGGTATGGTCCACCTTTGTGTGATTTTGGCCTATTTAAGCAAACCCTGCATCTTAACAAAAGTCGTCTTTGCGGAGCAAACCTGAGAGATTCATGGCTGCTTGAATCTCTAATACTATACACACAGTTAGTCTCACTTCTCTTTGTCTTTCTTTGTCTAGCTTTTCGAAGATGGCTGGGTTGGGAGCAGAGAACGTTGCCGTTTCAAGTCAACCTGTAGTAGACAACAAAACTCTTGCTGATTTTGAGCCTGCAAAGAAACCTAAACGAAACAAGTTCGCTTTTGCTTGCGCCATACTTGCTTCCTTAACTTCAATTTTACTTGGTTATGGTAAGTATCCTGCCGTCAACTGAACTTTTCTAATTTTGTTCACCAACAGAGTAGGCTCTCTAGACTAGTAAATGCAAACTAGAAAGCAGTAGCATCTTTTTCAGAGAAAAAAAAAGCATTAAAAAAGAAAAGAAAGAGTTTGGATAACCTATTTGTGGTGATTTTCTTTTTAAAACAATTTATTATTTTTGCATAAAATAGATATTGGAGTAATGAGTGGAGCCATAATCTACATACAAGACGACCTCAAAATCAACGACGTTCAAGTTGAGATCCTTGTCGGTATCCTCAACTTGTACTGTCTCGTCGGTTCATGCCTGGCCGGTAGAACTTCTGACTGGATCGGTCGTCGTTACACCATCGTGTTCGCTTGTGCCATATTCTTTGTAGGAGCTCTCCTCATGGGCTTTGCCACCAACTACGCTTTCCTTATGGTTGGTCGTTTTGTAGCTGGTATCGGCGTTGGCTATGCCCTCATGATTGCTCCCGTCTACACTGCTGAAGTCTCCCCTGCTTCCTCTCGCGGTTTCCTCACCTCATTCCCAGAGGTCTTGAAAACTTTGAAAACTACTTCTTGTTTTTAATTTTTTTTTATATATAAATGAAGCTTATATGGATTTTCCTTTTGGGATATAGGTGTTTATCAATGGTGGTATATTGTTGGGCTACGTTTCGAACTATGCATTTTCGAAGCTGCCAACTAACCTAGGTTGGCGGCTAATGCTTGGCATTGGTGCAGTCCCATCGGTTTTCTTGGCTATTGGTGTTATAGCGATGCCCGAGTCCCCGCGTTGGCTGGTTATGCAAGGCCGACTCGGTGAAGCCAAGAGAGTTCTGGAGAAAACTTCAGACACTAAAGAAGAAGCTCAGCTTAGACTCAGTGACATCAAAGAAGCAGCAGGAATCCCCCAAGATTGCACCGACGACATCGTTCAGGTCCAAAAGCAAAGCCATGGGGAAGGTGTCTGGAAAGAATTACTTTTATACCCCACACGCCCTGTTAGGCATGTGTTGATTTGTGCCATCGGGATTCATTTCTTCCAGCAAGCATCCGGCATAGACGCTGTTGTTTTGTACAGTCCAAGGATCTTTGAAAAAGCCGGGATCACATCATCAAACGAGAAGCTACTCGCCACCGTAGCCGTCGGATTTGTCAAGACAATCTTCATTTTGGTGGCTACCTTTTTGCTAGATAGAATCGGACGTCGTCCGTTGCTTCTCAGTAGCGTAGGAGGCATGATCGCATCATTAGCTACACTCGGGCTTTCACTGACGATCATCGATCATTCAGACGAGAAACTAATGTGGGCCATCGCATTATGCATCACGATGGTTTTGGCTTACGTGGCATGCTTCTCTATAGGGATGGGCCCCATCACGTGGGTGTACAGCTCGGAGATCTTCCCGTTGAGGCTACGCGCCCAGGGAGCGAGTATGGGAGTGGCGGTTAACAGGGTGACCAGTGGGGTAATTTCGATGACCTTTATTTCGTTGTATAATGCTATATCCATTGGCGGGGCGTTTTACTTGTATACCGGGGTTGCGACGGTGGCATGGTTCTTTTTCTACACGTGCTTGCCGGAAACCCAAGGGAAAACGCTGGAGGAAATGGAAGGGCTCTTTGGCAAATTGGTGGGTTGGAGGAAGGAGGCTAAGAGGCTGAAGATGAGTGTGAAGGAAGATAACGGTGATGGAACAAGTAACGGTCATATTCAGCTAGGAAATACGAGTACTAACAGTCGCTAAGGTTATATAAAGAAGGGTAGTATGGTAAATATAAGCGTTTGGTATGCTTTAGATATGAAATGAAGAAGAAGAAGAGTAGGTTTGTTTTTCCTTTTTCCTGCTTCTTTTTTGTTTCCAAAGAAAATGAAGTTCAAGGTGTGACCCTCGCGGGTGAAAAAAAGGAAGAAAATGTAAAAAGGGTGGGTCAGAGAAAAAAAGGCTTTTATGCCATGGAAAACCCGAAAAGGAAAATTATTATGAATTCCAAAAGAAACACTTTACAATCTCCTTAATGTTCTCTTCCCTTTAAAATTAATTAAGATATGTTTTCTTTCTTTTTTTTTTTGACAAAAATGTCGATCAAAGGAAGTCTCAATATGTTAAATAATTAACATTAATAGAAAGACAAAAAAAATAAAATAAATGATTGCACTATATATTATGAGACACACCATACTTGGAGGGAGCTCCAATAATTGGGGAAGTAAAGGTGGTGGTGACAAGTGGGTAGATGGATGGTGGGTTAGCATGCGAGTGAGAGGGAGGTCATTCTCTGTTGGAAACATAACTTTTTTCTACTTTCACAAGAAACTGGGTTATGTTACTGTTTAGATTCGAACTCAAACCTTAATTTCACTTCTCTTCATCATTTTATTATGATTTTTTTTTTTACTTTATCATTAGTAATGCTATTTCATTTGGTATTCATTTTAAGAAAGAATTAAGGCGGTCCCATCAGCCATCACAAAAGGCAATCACATTACTAAACTCTCTCAACTGATCCACCCTTATTTGAAACAACTGGAAACAAGTGTAACCTACAGTAACATATAACTTAATTAGAGAAAGCAATTTATTAAAACAAGCGAAGAAGAAAGAAAAACTCTCATTTTGCTTTGAGTTTGTTTAGGAAGTAGTACATATACTAGTTGTTGTCCAAGTATCTTTATCAAATGACTAAAGCAAGCGAATCATTTTAAAACAGTTCCCAAAAAAGTATATGGATCATACTAGTTGATCAGACCACAATAAAACCGAATCAAGCAAGATATTCCACAGAGACATGCAAGAGATGCGGTAGACAATAAACCAGTGAGCAAGCCAGTGGTACTTTTCCTATAGAAAGAGGACAAACAGAGCATGATTGTGGGGTCTAAATTTATGTCCTGGTGATGGATAGTACTACTCGAGGGGACCTGATTCTGATTAAAATGGCTCTCCTAGTGATGTAAATGGCTATGGTTTTTAGTTAGTTGGGTATTGGTTTGATATCTTCAAGATTTTCTTTCGCCTAAACCAATGGTACTTGTTGTAGGCATTTTCACACACATTTTCTCGTGACATTGGCAGCCTCAGGGCTCAGGCTCAGTATTCGTCTCTTGCGACGATTGCTAGTGGGATCAACACTGACGAAGCAAGGCGTTCCGCTGTCAAGCATAAACATAAACTACCGTGTTGATGGTTTCCCCTCCACATAATTTTGGGCGGCTAGCAAGGTCTGCCTGCCAACTTGATAATCCAAATCGACTTTGATTATGAATGCAAAGATACATATATAGAAGGATGAAATCAAGCAAAGAATAGTAGTTACTGTACAAAGTGGTCTCAAGTTTCATTTTCCATAACCCCTGATGGGTATAATAGTTGAGTTATCTCATGGCTCAACTTGAATATATGCTCACTCTCGAGCCCCAAATCTCCACCAGGGGATAACTTTTCCAAGATGAAACAACATCATTAAGAACAAGCCTCCCACAACTGCATCGGCATGCATGTCCCGGTGAATGAATTTTCTTGCCGTTTCCCTTTAATTAGGGGGGAATGTTATATGATTTAATTGGGTGCAGGACCTGTAACTTTTTTTGGGTGCCT